GGTTAGATTCCAGAAATTTGTAATGAATAACATCAATGGTAGACAACCAGAGAGTCACCATAATCTTCTATTGGTTCAATTTGGGTTTTGGAGTGTTTGTGTACATCATCATCATCATCATCATCAAGCCATTGAGCCAATCACTTATGATTGTCATAAATATCATTTCTCATAACAAGTCACTATTCGATCAAGAAATGGATCATTCGAATTTTGCAGATATTGCATCAAGCACACTTCAGACTGTCGAACTCTTTGACATTTACTGAGTTCTTATAAAACCCATTTATTGGGTTTCTTCAGCTTCAATTATAGAGTTTCTTCACTTTGCCAATTTTCTTTCATTGGTTCGATATTGTTGAAATGCTGACACCCATTATCTGAGACATTTCTCTGACACTTTGATGTGGGTTTTGTTCAACTAGTGTTTTTATATGTTGATTACCAATTGCTGATGGATGTCCTCTGTCATCTTGATCTTCAAGACTCTTATCTCCACTGTGAAACTTCAGAAACCAGGGCCATAATGTCCAATCATAAGTGGCTCCTTTCTCTCATGCTTTGTCAATATTAGCAGCAGTTTGAGAAGTATTATGACAAAGCTTGAATTGATGCAAAAAAAGAAAATGCATCGCTTCTTGTTTTGTGTTCAAGCTGAGAGATATATAATGTTTAAAGTTAAATTCTGAAAGGGATTGATATAAAATTAACAAAGAGGGTATTTTAGTCATTAAGAATGAGGACTGTATTTTTGTGCGGTCTTTATGATAATATGTCGGACCAAAATTAAATGGTTTATTTTAAAATTGAACCTTTATTTTCTGAACGACCTAATGCATCAATAAGTATTCCCCATTACAAACGTTTGGAAGATGCTTACAGTATGAAACCCACTTAGGATACAGTGTTGAGTTCTCTGTCCACAATAACTATCTATCCAAACATTATCTCTGTTACTGAGCACTCTTTTCCCATAAATATTGAAAACTTTAAACTATATCTCTCTATTGCTCTCTATCACTCTGTCTCTCTCTCTAACTCTCTCTAACTCTCTCTCTCTCTATATATATATATATATATATTTTGGTAGCATGTTATCATTGAGACATGTTTCATTGCATAATTTAGACATATTCTGTCTACTTCATTTTCAGATGAACACAACAATTTTGTCTTCAACAATAATGAACACTACAATATTTATCTTGCAATTAATAATACCCTGATGATGACATTGTGCTATGCTGAAAGTACTCAGAATAAAAGAAATATGTATCAACAGTGATTTTCTCTCATCTTTAAATAACAGCACCAAAAAGTTTATCCGTGAATATGAAAGGATCCAATTGGAAGTAAGTATACAGAACATGTTTAAATTATTCAATGAAACATGTCTCTCTATATATAACATACTGTGTGCTTTTCTGTAGCAATTAAAAGGTTTATTCTAAAATCAGACATTATTTTCAAGACAACGTAATACTTAGTATATGTATAGATATATAATACAATAAACTATTTTGTTTTCCATATGTATTGGGTACTTATTTTTTCTTCTGTATTTCTACTTAAAGCAAAAACAAAATTCCATATGGTACTCATAATCACACTTGGTGTTTTATACTTTTCTTTTTTGACTGAATCATACAAGCTGTTTTTGTCATGAAATAATGTTAATACCTCATCTCAAAATTTCTTCCTAGAGGGGGAGATGATTATTTGTAAGCATTCATGCAATAAGAGCCTAATTGTTAACAAATGCAGCTCAAGTTTCTATCAATGTGGCTACACTGTCAATCAATGATTTCTTTTTATCAAGATAATATCCTCGTCAATATTATTTTAACCTGTGTACTATTTGTCAGTTCTCAAATGGCTGTAAGAATGGATGAACTTCATGGATTTTGAAGATTTATCTTGCTGGAATGAGGATCTTCTTGCTATTCCTTGTTCTGTTATCAACAACGTCCTTTCTCAGAACTGAACTTAACATTGTTTGTTGTGAGTTTAAGAAATATTTTTCCAAGATATCATCTTTATCATCATCATCATCATCATCATAGTGTTGCTGTGCAGTTAAGCACCTAATCAGTTCCCTTTACATATTTGGGTTGAAAGCCAGGCAGATATTTGTTCATATGTAGCATGTTTTGGACAAGTAGATCTGGTGAAGTAAATGACAGTCAATATCCCCCAACTTGAAGATTTGCCTTGATCACAAACACATAGATGTTGATTCCATCAGGGAACCTCTCTTCTAGCTGTTGACTTCAGTCTAAGAAGCATTCCATGTCATCACTTTACTGGCTACATACATAGCTAGATAACTGTTGATTCTACCAAAAGGCTGATGTTTTAATTTCTGCTGGGTATGTAGTCATCCTCCTCATCAGAAAATCCTGGTGAGGAAGCTGCACTGGGTAGTCTTGTTTTACATGGTACTTGTAGAAGGACCTCACATAGTTTCAAGATAAAGGATATGTTAACCCTGTATACAGGTTCACAGTCTCACCATGTGTGGTGTTGCTTCTGGGATACTTCGACCAGGATGGGATGAGGCTTTTTAGCCGCATACCCAAACGGTTCAGAATTCAGAGTTGTCTTTCTCCTCATCATTGTCGACTATCCATCATATTTGGTAAAGACATGTGAAGGAGATTCATCTAAGGTCTGGTGGTTTGAAACATGTGATGGTCATGTGTCTAGGTTGATGGTAACTGGCCAGCTTCAATGCTCCGATTGTTGCTACTCCAGTATGAAGTGTTCAGTGCCATGCAGGGGAGTGATTCTTCTTTGTCTTGCACTGTCAAACTGTCAAGCACCAAAAGCAGCACACCCTGGTTTGACTAGTACCTGATCCAATGGATAGCCAAAGCAGTACCATGGAGGGATTAACTAAATGCTCCTGCGGTAGCATCCTGACAGTATTAGGAATTGCCAGCCATTGGCTCTGCTGGAGAACTCATCCACCTGCCAAAAGAAGACGTGCTAATCAAACTGTCTGATGCAGATAGTGCTCAGCAACTAGAATCTACCAACCTGCTGCCATTGGCTTCACCCCATCCCTGCCACAGGGAGCTTAGGTGTTGCTAAGACTTTCCCAAACTAGCGGAGGGAAGTTGGTTCGCTTCACCATTGATGAGCTGTAGTCAAAAGATCAGTCTCAAACAGCTGCCATTGCTTCTTACAGACTGGTTCCAAACTAAAGCTGGAGAGTCCATCTAGCTTGACAGGAGAAGATAGGCATTGATACCTTTACACAAAAGTGAATCCTTACAAATAATCACCTCTCCCTCGAGGAAGAAATTTTGAGATGAGGTATTAACATTATTTCATGACAAAAACAGCTTGTATGATTCAGTCAAAAAAGAAAAGTATAAAACACCAAGTGTGGCTATGAGTACCATATGGAATTTTGTTTTTGTTTTAAGTAGAAATACAGAAGAAAAAATAAGTACCCAATACATATGGAAAACAAAATAGTTTATTGTATTATATATCTATACATATACTAAGTATTACGTTGTCTTGAAAATAATGTCTGATTTTAGAATAAACATTTTAATTGCTACAGAAAAGCACACAGTATGTTATATATAGAGAGACATGTTTCATTGAATAATTTAAACATGTTCTGTATACTTACTTCCAATTGGATCCTTTCATATTCACGGATAAACTTTTTGGGTGCTGTTATTTAAAGATGAGAGAAAATCACAGTGTTGATACATATTTCTTTTATTCTGAGTACTTTCAGCATAGCACAATGTCATCATCAGGGTATTATTAATTGCAAGATAAATATTGTAGTGTTCATTATTGTTGAAGACAAAATTGTTGTGTTCATCTGAAAATGAAGTAGACAGAACATGTCTAAATTATGCAATGAAACATGTCTCAATGATAACATGCTACCAAAATATATGCAATCTTGGATACTAAACAAGACCGTTTTGTCTATTTATCTTATCTGAACTCATATTTCCTTAAAGTGAAATTGGCATGCTGAATTTAAGACACTTTCTAACTGCAATAGTAAGAAAGAGACATATATAAAACAAATTGTGAGATTTGAATAATTATGACGGTCATAGTTAAGATTATTTCATTCATAAAATATAGTTTTCTCTTTATCCAAGGATAATGCTAGTGTTTCAGATCATAAGGCAATCACTTTATTTTTTGTGCTATAAATAATCTGGGTTAATATAATTTTTTTTTCTGTCAGTTTCATCTGATTTTTAAAGATGTTCACTCTGCTCATAAAATGAAAGTTCATATGCACTTTTTTTAAAAAAATTTTTTAAGACCATCCTTTCCTACAACCTTGAAAAGATTGTTGATGCTGGTAAATATTTAGAAAAATAAAAGATGAAATTTAAGGAAATATGAGCTCAGATAAAATAAATAGACAAAATGGTCTTGTTTAGTATCCAAGTACACTAAGATATTAGTATTTGAAAAAAAATAATGATACCACATCTCTCAAATATTGAATCTTACATTGTGGGGAGGGGGAGTTTAATCTGAAACCGTAATTTTATCATTGATCCTCTTTTTGTTTTTCTTTTTTTTAATACATTTAAAAATTGGCTTTGTTTTATATATGAAAAATTCTGTCAGAGTTTAAACAGAAAAAAAGATTCTTGTAATACTTATTATGACAAAAGGAGATTTTTCAGAATGAAAAGAATCATGTAAGCAAACAATAAGGTTTGGGAGGGTAAGGAAGTCATACGTTGAATTGTGCTTTTACTGTTTCTTTCTTTCTCTCTTCATTTTTTTCTGTCTCCCCCCACCACAGTATCTTTCTCATTGACATGTACAAATAACAGAGAGGGGGATACATGGAGAAATAGAGAGAGCATAAAAAAAAGAGAAAAAGCACATAGGACACATTGTGTGTGTGTGTGTGTGTGTGTGTGTGTGTGCGCGCGCGCGCCCCGGATGTGTGTGTGAATGAATGAGAGATATGAAAAGAAAAACAGAAAGAAATAATTTTAAAGAAATGGGGAAAAGAATAAGGAGAAAGAATATGAGAAAGAAATATGAAGAGAAACAGAAAAACAGCAGAGAGATTGAGAGAAATAGGGAATAAGAAAATGAGAAGGGAAGTGGAAATGAAAAAGAGGAAGATTAAAGAGAAATTTAAAGAGAGATATAGGGAGAAAAGTAGGTAGAAAGAGAGTAAACGGAGAAAGATTGATTGCAAGAGAGATAGAAAAGAGGAAGAAAGATAAAAGCAAAGATATAGAGGGGAGAAAGGAAAAGATAGAGACAAATAAGGGAAAAAGGGAAAAAGAGAAAAAAAAGATATGTTGAGTAAAGAGTGAGTGATAAAGATAATATACAGTAGTGAAAAGATAAGAAAGAGGCAAAAGAAATTGAGAGAGGAAGAGAGAGATAGTGAAAACGATAATGACAGTGCAACAGAGAAAGTAAAACAAGATGAAATAAGGAGATAAAAAAAGAGAAGCTGATAAAACAAAACAGGAAAGTGAGTAGCGAGTGATTGCGATAGAGAAAAAGAAAGAGTAAAAGAATTTGAGACATAAAAAAGGAAGTTAAAATTGGAAGAAAAAAAAAACGAAATGCAGAGAGAGAGAGAGAGAGAGAGAGAGAGAGAGAGAGGGGGGAGCAAAAGCTAGTGAAAGAGCATGAAAGTCGCTAAATTTAACTTTTCTGCTTTCAAACATGTCTCTTTGTGTGTGTGTGTTAGTTTGTGTGCGTGTGTGTGTGTGTGTTGCTTCATCCTGCTATCTTTTCAATACTCTATTTGATTTCCTATTTTATAAGGAAAAGGGTAATAAATAGGTAGAGAGGTTCCGAGTAATGAAGATAGACATAGACTAAGAAATAAATAAAGAAAGAAAGAAAGACGCAAAAAAGCACGTAAAATTTTGATAAAGACGCGAGAAAGGGTGGAGAGTTTTACCGTTTTTTCATAATCTTTATATTTTTGAGTGTTTTTATTTTTAATATCTCCTTTTCTTTTTCTGAAAAATTCTGACCACTTTTTTCATTCTATTTTGTATATAAAGGCCATATATATATATATATATATATATATATAATGGATAAATAAATGGATATGTATTTGCTTGGTCTCTCTTTATTCACTCCGTATTTTTAATAACCTTTCTTGTATTTTCTTTATTTGAGACATACTCTAATTAGAAAGAGAGAAAGAAAGAAGCTGAGAATGAAAGATAGAAAGAAGCAAAGAGAGAGAGAGAGAGAGAGAGAGAGAGAGAGAAAGATTAAGAAGACAGAGATATAGAGAACGTATGTTATTATATTGGTCTGTCTTTTACTTATTTGCTTTGTTATTCTCGTGTTTCAACTCTTACCCTTTTTTTCTATAATGATTGTTTCTCTCAAATATTCCTCTTAATCTCAACAACTATTATGTCCAAACTCAGAGAGAAGAGAGAGAGAAGAGAGAGAATAGTAAAGGTAGAATTTGTCTTGTTTTTTTAATTATTTCCCATTGATCAAATCCCATTCTTGCGTTTATTACTCTGATACAGTCGATTACGAGTTCAGAAAAGATAAGATGAGAAAGAAGTAAGAAGGATAAGAGAGAGATTGGCAGAGATAGAAGGAAATGAACATTTTGTTGACTTTTTATCCATTCATGATATGATTCTTACAGTTTTGTAGGTAAGCGGGAGGGGAGGCACGGTGGAGTAATGGATAGCGACTCGGATTGAGAAATATCTAATACTCTTAGGAAAGGTATGAATCCTTTTCTTTTCCCCCTGCTATGGGTAAATAGTAGGACAGACCGGATTCCATAGCTTTGGATGGCAACTGGTATACCGCAGAAAGAAATGGCAACCTATTGCGGGAAAAATCTGCCTCGTCAGTCATGTATTGAAAGATACATAATCACCTAATCATGGCACATAACTGACTGACTGACTGAGGTTGGTGGGAATGAAAGAAAACGTGGATAGATAGAAATAAAAAAGATAGATTTGAGAAAATGGACAGATAGAAAGGAATTTATAGATAACAATGAAATGATTGAGAGATAGAAATAAAATGATCAATTGAAATGGTAGTTGGGTAGAAATGATAGACAGATATAGATAGAAGTGAAATGATAGATAGAAATGAAATTGTGGATAGAAGGATATAGGAAGAAATGATAGATAAACAGAAATGATAGTTAAATAAGCAGAGATGAAATGATAGATCTATAGACAGAAATGAAAGGATAGAAATGAAAGTTAAATAAACATATATAGATAGATAGAAATGAAAGGATAGATAGACATATACAGATAGAAATGAAAGGATAGACAGACATACACATAGAAATAAAAGGGTAGATAGACAGAAATAGAAATGAAAGGATAGGTAGACATAAATAGATAGAAATGAATGGATAGATAATAGACAAAAATTGAAAGACAGACATATAGATAGAAATAAAAGGATAGATAGGAATATAGATAGATAGAAATAAAAGGATAGATAGGAATATAGATAGATAGAAATAAAAGGATACATAGGAATATAGATAGATAGAAATGAAATGATAGACATATATAGATAGATAGAAATGAAATGATAGACATATATAGATAGATAGAAATGAAAAGATAGATTTACATATAATAGACAGAAATGAAAAGATAGGCGTATGTAGATGGAAATGAAAGGATAGATAGACAAACATTAAAAGATAGACATCTATAGATAGATAAAAATGAAAGGATACCTAGAAATGAAAAGATAGAAAGATATCGATAGAAAGGGATAAAAAAAAAAAAAAAAAAACAATGACAGATTAATAAGACAGATTGAAAAAGCGAAATGAAAAGTCAGAAACTGATGGAATTTGAAAAAATAGGTAGGTAAATATGAAAATAATAGATAACAATAGATTGTTTCAGATTCGGACAGACTAACGGTAGGTATGAATAAATTGTGGTCGAGACATCTATCTAGAGATAGACAGAAAATTAGGATTCACAGGCTGGGATTCGAATAGAAATAGAGAATATAAGAGACTAGTAGAGACTAGTATATTTCCAACATTTTTTCGCTTTTGTTTTTCTTGCATTTCCTCCCACATCTCGCATTGTTTTTGTTTTGCATCGAGAATGCCTGTAGATGCATGCTCTCCTACCTGTATATGCAACGTGTACTAAAGTTGATGTATTTCTAAGTTACTCGCATATATATATATATATAATAATATAATATATATAATATATAATATAATATATATAATATATAATATAATATATATAATGTATATAATATATATATATAATATAATATATAATATATATATACGTTCGATTACATTGTCATCTGTATTTGAGAGCATGTCAATGTGAGTGAAATGCGTGTTTTTATACATACAAAAGCACAGGTATGTGCAGACGTTCATTTCTGTGTCTGTGTAAATAAACGTGTGTACGTATATATGCAGATGCATAAATGTGTCCCAGATTATTTGCATATATTTTATGCGGGTTTGCCTGTCTCTCTTTCTTTTTCTCTCTGCCTGTCTCACTGTCTCTCTCATTCTCTCTCTCTCTCTCTCTACACACACACACTGATGATGCAAACGAAAACATAAGCTTTATCCGGCGAAACGCGTCTTTGATAGAAAAAAAATCCACTTTTGTTTCGGTTACTATTACACACACACACACACACACACACACATATATATATATATATATATATATATGAATGTCCTGATTTCTTTATGATTACTCTATACTAGCATGTATACGCGAGCACATACACCTACGCACATATATATATATATATATATATATATATATATATATATATATATATATAAATATAATGATTTCTGTATGATCACTCAAGTTAAGCAGTGATCTAACTTGATCATTACTTTGATGGGTGATCACTTCAGAATATCAGTTACTGTAACTTGACACCTCGTATAAGAGAAAACAATGTTTATTATACATATAATAAACTGCCATGGCGACTAGCCATCCCTTATCGCAGATACCTTCTCAGGCACATTTGCGTTTGTTCTCGACCCACAGAGTCCACCTGCGGTTTGTACTGAACAAAACTTAGTTACAGTTTCAGCGAGTGAGCGTATAATCTGGAATGATCAGCAGTTTGAAAAACGCCAGCACGATAAAACCCTCGGATACGACGACTTGTCACTTCGTGCTATCACAGTCATCAAAGGTTTCTGAACAGTTTTGTCTACACAAATCCACTCGCAAGGTAGTCAGTCCGTCGAATGTTTTTCGGTTATTTTTCAAAAAGTGCCGCTTCCTGCTGGAATCGCCTCTCCAGGTCGATAACATCAATAAGTCACCTTCCTGAAAAGTCGACCATGGTGAAATTCGAACGTGTGTCTCTGAGTGTAAATTTATTAATATATGTGCGCTTGCTTCTGTATTTCTGTTTCCCATAGAAACAATATCCCTGAAAATAGTTTTAATGTCCTGTACTGGTGTATTCGTTGCCTGATAGTACACAATACCAAGAAAAGGACGCATCTACTGACCCTATTTTTTTTATGTTCGCAATTAAAAAAAAAAACTCTTTCAAAAGAATTTAAAATAGAGCACTCTTATATACATAAGAAAAGGAATTATTTGTTTTAGTAAGTACCCATCTTTGGGTTGCTATTCCCGCTTTTCAATTTCGTAAAAAGGGCTTTATGAAGAAAGAGTTCTCAGTGTCGTGGATAGAACGTTTGTGGCTATAAAGAGTGACTGTTTGGTAGTCTGATGATCGCTTAAAGCGTGAAACTCTCATTTACCATGCAGTGTTGATTTCCACATTGTTACTTCTTTCCTTCACTCTCTCTCTCTCTCTCTCTCTCTCTCTCGCGATCAAAGGAGATGCTACAAAGAAAGTGGTGGAAGCAGGTTCGCATTCTGTCGAAGGACACATTTTCTTTAATAAGTTTTCTCATATGCGCAAGACAGTAGAAGAAATAAAATATGTTAAAATAAAAGGAGCGTCTACTGAAACATCAGTATCGACTAAAAAATAACGCTTGCGGTAACATACATACACACACACACACACACACACACACACACACACACACACATATATATATATATATATATATATATATATATGGAGAGAGAGAGGCAGATATGATAAAACTATAGTTTTAAGGTATGCTATATTTATAGTGTAAATATAAATGTGGACAAAGAGATCAACAAAGAGTGACCTGAGGATTGCGGTCAAGCATGAAACAGACTGTCACCACTCTACGTTGACCTCAGTGTCCCCTCATATATATATATATATATATATATATATATATAGTGTCTTTGTTTAATTTACAGTCAGATCAATGCACTGAGGATAGATATTCAAAACATGTCGATATTGTTGATTTTGCAAGAATGCGAATATATTGACATCTTATGGATGAAAAAGCATGTTGCGCCGATCTCCCTAATGAGTAGGGTAGAGTCTCACTTGAAAATCAATAATTTAATTTTTTGGGTCCGAACATCGCCGTTAGAAGCAGTTACAAAACAATCAGCTTAGTTGATGTGCGATACTGAGTAGTGAGTTCAGTCCTCAGTGGGTGCCCCCCCCCCACTTACTTGTGGTCTCATAAACTTAGTGAAATAACAAGTTCGAAATTAGTGGGAATATGAACTGATATAAACAGTAATAGATAGACGCAATCGGAAGAGGAAGGATAATTGTTACAAATTTGCTCTCCTACACTCCTTACTCTCCTTTTCAAAGACTGTAAAATTATAAAGAGAAAAAGTAAGAAGAAGATAAAAAGGAAGAACAAAAGAGTGAAGTGATAAAGAGAGAAAGAGGAGGTAAAAGAAGAAAACGCGGGAGAGAGAGAGAGAGAGAGAGAGAGAGAGAGAGAGTGTGAGAACAGAAATAGACAAAGGGAAACATAGGAAATCTGGAAAAAGGATAAAACAAAAAAAGCCAGAAAAACCAAAATAGAGAAAAATAATAAAAGAGAGAGAGAGAGAGAGAGAGAGAGAGAGTAAAATAAAGAGTAAATAAACTGAGTTAAAGAGTTAGACAATGAGAGAGAGAGAGAGAGAGAACGTAAAAGAAAGAGTAAGAGCTGAGTTGAAGAGTTAGACAAGGAGAGAGAAAGAGAAGTTAAAAAAAAAACGAAACAAAAAGAGAATAAAAGAGAAAGTTAGAGAAGAAGTAATAAGAAAAAAATGAAGAAGAATAACAAATTATGAATGACGATTGTTTTTAGATTTTGAACTCATTTTTGTTAGAGAACATTGGTTGCCGAACACACGCCCCGGCAAACGAATGCACGCTTGTTTTTTTTTCCGTTTTTTTTTTTTTTGTTCATGTGTAAAAATGTTTATGTATCAGTATTTATGTTTGTATGCATGTGTCTATATTTTTCATTGAGTGCGTAATGTAGAGTCAATATACGTATCCGTGAGTATATCTATTTATTTTCCGTTACGGTATCTGCATGCATGCAATTCTCTACATGTGTATGTCACAATGTATTTTGGAAAAGTGTGTATACGTGTGTGTGTTTGTTTTTTTCTTTTTCTGGTCACTTCTGTTGTGAGTTTCAGTAACTATGCCCACACGATATTCGGAAGGTTAGAATTGTCATTCTCTCCCTCATTCTAAAGAATAAAGAAAGATACTTTCTTTCTCTTTCCGACACTATGAGACAGCTATATTCTGTCCATCAGTCGGACCAGTAAGCAAGCTTTTTTTTAAACAAACGCACGCACGCACAGGCGTAAATTCACTCTGAAACTCTCATACTGAAATAAACAGACTCCCGCGCACCTTTCGCACGCACCAGATTAGAATTTATATAACGTAGTGTTTGAGAAGACACGCGCTTGCACACACATACACAACAACGAACACACACGCACACTGCACAACACGGAAGTGTGTTCTGTCCGTACACACTCAGCAAAATACTATTGTCAGTGTGACTACCGCAGCGAGTGAACAGTTTTCAACGTAACTCTACTACAGAAAGCACATGCATTGTCGGATGAGCGTTCACTCGAAGAAGAATCAAAGATAGAAAAGTAAGTTGAAGCCTTCGTTTTTCTTGACTTCCGTTTTTTTTTCTTTTTTTTTTCAAATTTCTTTTCTTGGCAGGTTTCTGGTTTCAAATCTGTTCCCCACCTTTCAATGTTTCGAGTTGACAAAAAGTTGTTTAAAGAAAAAAACAGGTTTTAATAATTTAATTCTTACGCAGTGGAGAAGAGTTTGATTGGGGTTGTGTCTCTCTCTACAGATAGACTGTTGATGGACCGGTGAGAGTTTGGCGTTGAAATTGGGAATGGTTGGAAAGGAAGTAAATAAATAAATACCCTAGGAATTCTGATTATTTAAATATTTTAATGTGTTAAGAAGAAGAAACTGTTTTGATTTTAAATTTTTTTTGTGTGTGCTTCTTTTTTTTTTTTTTTTTTTTGGTACTTTTTTTTAAAAAGTTGGATGTCGTTTAAATTATAGCCGTCAGATATTTTGTAAAACGTCTCTTTTTTTCTTGATTGGTTTTGGTGGGTCGTTCGGGCTAGTTATGTTACTGGAATCGGGGTAAATACTTGAAGAAAAGTAAAAGAGGTTTGCTGTGTTTTGGATAAAATTAACTGAACTCGAGCAAAGCCTGCAGACGCACATGTGAGCGGGTGTAAAAAAAAAAAACAAAGAAAGAACAATTACATACACACACACACACAAAATAATGAAGATCGATAAAGTGAGTTCGAGTCTTCTTAGATCCTTTACCCTAGAGATCTTGTGTTGCAATGCTAAGTTTAAATAGCGCAGATCAACACATGTTTAAAGCACATGTAAAAATTATTTAACACGTGTGTATTATTTACATGCATACTCATATTTTTAAGCGTGTCACTATGCATGTATATGTATTTATATAGGCAGGTAAGTATGTGTGCATATATATGTGCATAAAAAATTAACTGTGCCTATCTGTAAATGCAGCACATGCAGATATAACAGTAGCGTACAGCATGCAGTTGAGTTTCATAGGATTTTTCAAGTTTACAAAAGATTTTACTGATACGATTATGTAGTAAAAAATATATTTTTTTTTTATCCAACTCCCGTGCCGAAGATTTTACCAGTTTGCAAATATCCTGACTATACGTACCTTCAGCATGAATGAAACACACACACACACACACACACACACACACACACACACACACACACACACACACATATATATATATATAAGTAAAAAAAGTCGAAGATTTCCCGGCTTGGTATTTTGATAAATTTATTTAAACCGCTTGCATTTCGTATAATAAACAAATTTTCAACTTACGTAACTAAATGACAATGAAGCAGGTTTTTATAAATATGTAAATAAATATGCATTGTGTGTTTATGTGATACACACACACACACACTGAATATGAGTAGCCCAGAAAAATAAGACGGTGATTGAGATACAAGAAAAAAAAAACAGACAAAAGCAAACATGAATATCGATAGAGAGTGATTGTTTCAAATATAAAGGTAAAAAGAGTTAGAGCGGAACAGAAATCGATAGACAAATGCACAGAATATATCATATCTACATATTTACATACATATATATGTGTGTTATTTTCAAAGTTTTTTAGTGGATACCTGTGTTTGAAATAGACGTCCCGTTTTTTATTTATTTTAAAGTTTAAAATTTAAACACTGTGTATTATTACGTCTACACAGGGACGCAAGTTCGAACCCTACTGGGGAACACATTTTCTCAAGTTTTCTCGAGTGCGCTGGCCAATAGGCTTACACACTGTTTAAAATAATAATAATAAAAAACAAAAAACAAAAACAGGATGTCTTTTTAACGGGTATGTACTAAAATAAATCCATTTAAAATTCTTAATTTGCTTCCGCAAACCAGAGATAATTGTAGTAGACAAACTGGGGTTGACAGTTAAAAAATTGTACATACATTGGGGTGATGTGTGAACATAATGAGATTAATGGATTGTGCATCTGTGTTCACATTTGCATAAAATTTAATGTAAATTCTTCCCTTGTATTATGACAACAGTGTAAACAAAAACAGTAACAAACTTTAAACGCTTATGTGTATTCATTTAGTCTGCCTACTTGATGGCGTGTTTGTAAGCAAATTGTTTTGCTTAATTGATTATTATTGTGTTTTTTGTCGTAGGGAATTTTGTTTACGGGCTTTCCTCTCATCAAAACACAATTCTAAATGGCTATATTCTTTATTGTTGGGAAAAGAGGTTTTGGTTTTGTGTTTTCTTGACTGAAACTACAACTAGTACTTGAAACAGTTTTTCTTTTATCACTGATTTTTTTTTCGTTGGACTTAAAAGACGTTATTTTTTTTATTACCATGTGCATAGAATTACACAGGAATGAGTGGATGGTCAATCTTCCAAGTGATGGCTAGAATCTGCTTGTCTTGAACGTCACTCGAAACTGTATAAGAAATCCTGGTTTTTTACCTGGACTAGAACACCGACCATTTGCACCGATGCGAAATAGGATACAGCTGTCAATTTGTCCTTCCCGCGACAATGTGGTGTGCACGCGCGCTTGTGGGTAAAGAGAATCTCATATGATAAGAAGAAATGAATATTTTTTTTAGTAAAAAATAAAAAATAAAAAATAAAACACAAACAAGAAGAGAATGGAAAGAAAATAAGAGAAATGAATGTAAAAGAAAAATGAAAATGGAATAAAAAGAAATAAAAGTAAAAGTTGGGGATATATATATATATATATATATATATATATATATATATATATATATATATATGTCTATATTTCTGAGATGAGTATATGTACAGTATTCACATTAGTCGGACTATTGTCCTCATCTTTGTCGCCATATTTGTCACAACATTTCGGCCGTTGTACGCCCGGCCTTCTTCAGTGATCGAAATAAAAGGTTCACTTCGAAATTCCAACCACCTGAAGAAGGCCGGAGCGTACAACGGCCGAAACGTTGTGGCAAATATGGCGACAAAGATGAGGACAATAGTCCGACTAATGTAAATACTGAGAGAGAGAGAGAGAGAGAGAGAGAGAGAGAGAGAGAGAGAGAGAGAGATAAATGCGAACGAAACAAGAACAATAAGAAAAATATTAAAACTAAAATTATAGTCAAAAACGGAATAAAAGAAAATGATTACTACTTGATTGATTGATATATCTCTGTCCAGGTAAAACTCATCCATGTTATCTTTCTTCATTACATTTTTAACTTAGTGTGCATATACATGTGTATACGCGGAAATAGAAAGAAGTCTCCCTCACTCTTCCACTTGTTGGGTCCTCTTTTAATAAGTAAAATAATTTTTTTCAGACATCTTTCTCGTTCTTGTATTTTCAGACACGTCTTTTCTTACCATATTCTCTTCGGTTCTATTGGGTTGAACACACCTTTCCATTTTGTCTTTGCTTTTCCTTTTTTTTAAATTTCATCTCAGCCCAAAGCGCACCATGCTATCCTGACACACATACAAAAAAAAGACACACACACACAGACACACACATGCCCGTCTCCATTGTGTCGGTTTGAGAAAAAATGTATAAATACAATTTAAGAAATTTGCAACGGATTTATAAGTTTGTTGTTGTTGTTGTTGTTGTTGTTGTTGTTGTTGTTCTTGTTCTTCTTCTTCTTCTTCTTCTTCTTCTTCTTCTTCTTCTTCTTCTTCTTCGTGCCGTGTCCCTTCAGGGCGTTGTTGGTCATGGCTCTCCACAATTTCTTATCCTTTATAGCTTTTTTAGTACATTATCTTTCTACACTAGCTCGTCAGGTAGGTTATGCGCTGATTTCCTCTCTCTTGCCTTTAAGTATCTCCTGTGAGTGTCAAATATTCCAAGCCCTCTTTCCTCAATATGTGCCCTAGAAATTTCAATTGTCCCCCAAGAATTACTGGACTTCATCTTTAATCCATTTTTTTTTCTTATTACTCTAAAAATTTTATTTTTGTGAGTACACCTCAGTAGACATCCTGTTTTTGATTTATTTATTTTGTAACTGTATGTATTTACATCTACCGGCCTGCACATTCGAGAGACTTAGTAAAGACTAAAAAGAGAATGTGCTCTCGGGCAGTGTTCGAACCCGCGTAATTAAACCTTGCTGGAGGTACTTTGTAGCTAAGCGATCTAAAGCACTTCAAATCAGACGGTGATTTTGCCTACAAAAATGGGGTACAGTCTCGAATCCTGCTGGAAAGCAAACTCTCTTTATTAAGTTTCTTGAATGGTCAGACTGGTATGCGTAATTCACACTGTTTAAAATTAATGAATAACAAAGCGTCTCTACAGAAACACGTACATCTACAAAATGGTGTTTAACTGAAAATAACATCATGCACGGAAAGAATTTAAGATTAAAAAGAAAAAAAAGGTGATGCTGACTTGAACCAACCCTGCCTGAATTAAAACAGCAAACATAGAGATTAAAGTGTTGGTTTGTGAATTTGGTGATGTAGAATTGTGAGTTCAATTCCTGAGCTGGTTAGTTTGTACTTGGATTTAGTGGAAACAGGACGAGCAATAACTGAGCAATATTAATAGTAAATAAGAACTGGATATAGAATATAGTCAACGGAACAAGAACACTTTATCCCTGTAGATTAAATAAACGGCTCAATCTGAAATTGCCTGAAGGTTACCTAGATCAACGGAAGGCACAAGAGCTAAAACATAATAACTTCAGAAATTCAAACGGAATGAATTTTAATGACTTAATATTTTCTATACTATTCAGGCATCTACTCACCTAGAAATGAACCAGATTAAACCTGATAACAAAAAACAAATCAATGTCTTTATCAAATGAGCAATGACCAATTCCTTTCACTTGTCTTACAATACGAATTTATGAATAGCTTATACCTGTGGGTAGTGTAACGGTTATCAGCAAAGGATGTGGAATTGGTGAGTCGAGTTCAAGTTCTGGATAAGCATATTGCATTCACTTTCGCACAAACTTCATTGGGAAAAGAAATGAATCCATTTCTTCTCCTTCCAGGTACAGGTTAAATAGCAGGGTAGACTGGTCTCTCTAACCTTCAGTGGCAACCAATTTAGGAAATTGTCTACTCTGAAATCAGAAATGTGGAGAAGATAACCAGAATCTATTACACATTCTTTCCCAAGAAACCATAGCAATTCACAGATAATGAAAAGGAATCTGTGGACAGCCATGATTGCCTATGTTCTGGATAATAATCTAAGCCAAATTATAATATATAATAAGAGAATTCTTCTTCTTGCATTGTTTTCCTTCAAGACATGGGCTATCACAGCTCTCCACAACTTCCTTTCCTTTCCTAAGCAGTGTTTGTCCCCTTACTTTCCTTCTGAGTCCTTGTTCTGCCACCCATTTACACAAGCTTGTTAGGTAGGTTACTTGATGTTCCCGTCTGCTCCTTCTACCTTCAGTATTTCCTGTGAGTGTTAAATTCTCCAAGCCTTCTTTCTTCAGCTGTTACTAACTGCTGATGCAGATTTACAGATCATTTTTACACAAGTGTAAGATTTCAATCTAAATGCACGTGAAGAAACAATGAACTTATAATAAAAGAATAATTACTCATCTTCAATAGCATCAAGTATAAAAAATTAACCTGAAATCTTGAGTCATGTCCTATAGGCTTTCATATGGATGTCATGCATGATGCCAGACCATTCAAAAATATTTGTTAGCTGTATACATCTGTTTTCAATAGTTAAAAGTGGCTTTGAGCAAGTGAAGCCTGTGAGTTTTTGTGAAGACCATCATTCTTTGAACATTGTGGACTGGTGCTACAAAATCACAAACAAAGAACTTTACCAAATAACAGAAACCACACCAGTTGAGGACTATCAACAGCAGCAACAACTAAAATGGATAGCACATGTAACTTAAACAAAAAACAACATCATTAAGATATTGATTTTCCACACAATTTGAAAAAAATGGTGAGGAAGGAAACCCCCATCAATACTGGAAAGCATGATAACAGTGGACTGGAGAAACCTATTTAACTGAAAAATTGTTTTAAGAGGAAGATTTTATAGATTTCACCTGAAAGTAGTACTAGCTGCTTGGTCAATGAATGCCAAATGTTTCTTTATAAGGAAATGGCTAATATTAGCATTACTATTTACCTACTCTACAAGCCTCAATATAACAGATTTATTAAGTTACCTTGCAATTGAGTTATTTTGTACTAAATTACATGAACCACAAGAAAGTTCAATACACTTATTCATAGATTTACAAGCTATCAACTTTAAGGGATTACATCATAAACCACAACTAGGAAATAAAATCTCTCTTAGAAAAGATTTTAATATTTTCATCTGAAAGTCCCTGAGACCATTTTTATAAAATCTAAGCAATCTTCTTTATGTAAACAAAAAGAACAGTTTTTAAGTCTCAATGTGATTAGCTTGTAATATAATGATATATATATTAATATAAGATTAAGATTAAGATGTATGATTAAGATAGGCTTGCAGTAGGTGCAGATATGTTTGCCTATCGTCCAGTTTGAAATTGGAGAACCGAGTTCAAATTACAGTTTAGTTCATTACATTCACTCATGTGCTAATACCACTAGGAACGGTATGAATCCATCTTTTCTCCTCCCAGCTATGGGTAAACAGGACAAATTGGATTCTATAGACTTGGTTGGCAACCGGTCTAGGAGAAGGAAAAACTGTGAATTCCAAGTGCAACTCTTTGGAAGCAGACCCATGGTCTCTTGAGATCAACAGATGCCATTAATATTAACTATTTTAGCTATCCTTGATTGATCTTTGATGAGAGCAGAATAAGAACCAGTCAGGACTTTGTTATTTTTTTTGTTTTTTTTTTGTTTTTTACAGTATTTAAATAAGTTTCATTATTTGATGAAGCTCTTTCTGATTTTCTGTCGTCAATCTATATGGTCTGATTAAGGATGGCTTTCTTTAAGATTTAGTGTGAATTCAAATTTGAATTGCCAGATTGAAAACACTCTTTCTACGGTATGTCCCATGTTAATCAGATCCACCTAAGTGGTAATGATAAAAGAGATTGATAAAAGACAAAAGAAAACTCTCCTGTTCACCATAATTAATCCAGTCCCAGTAATAAATAATTTATAATTAAGTTCCAAGGGAGATAAATCATGAGGAGCGGAAGTGCTTTACATTTCTTTGCCTGCCCAGAATGAAAATTGAAGTATTTATATATCTTTATTTAATTTTGGTGAAAGATTTTGTGCTGGGTGCATGCTGATCTTAGAAAAATAAATAAAACAAATGATGTGTAGGACTTGTTTAATGGCTTTAATACATGTTTCAAGGTTCTGAATCCATGACCTTTTGTAACTGCTTGATTCGAAAAGTAGGAAGGGGCAAGAGTATTGGCTAATATGGTTTAATGGATATTAGATATATATTTTTTTATTTCCTTTTTTTTTCTTTTAAAGACATGATATTTAAACTTAAAGATAAGACATTTATTTAAAGAGTCAACATTTTTTTTTTTAATTATTTCTCCAATCAAGGCAATAAAACCACTAAATGGCAAGGAGGTTATTGAGTGTCAGGGTCAAATTTAGATGAAGAGAGGCTCTAGGCTATTCCACTTGTGAGGCCCCTCTAAATCCCCGATTCTCACGAGTAGAGGAAAATGTAAGAGTGTTAAATTACACAATTTGTGTAAAGCCAAGGATGATGAGAGGTGTTTAAAATTACTGATTGGTTATTTAGAATCTACAATGTGTTATGATGGCACATGTAAGAAAGGCATATGACAGTGTCAAAAATATTATACACCTTGGCTGGAGGCCCTCTAGATTTTGAGGCCTTAGGCTTCAGCATGCTAAGCCTATAGGTAAATCCGGCATTGCTGAGTGTGAGAGAATATGAGAAAAAGTAAATATTATTAAGGATAGCAAACAATAAAAGAACAGGAATTAAGAAGACAGAAGTTAATGACTGAAGATAACATTTAAATATTTGAAGATCAAAGTTGAAAGCAAGAAGCCAGAAGAGAGTACCTCAAAGAAGAGCTAAAATAGAAGAAACTGTTAGAATAGAATTTAAAGTTACATCTAGCTATTTCAACTGTAAAATGATGAAACCTTGCCACCAGTATA